TTTTGTATTGGATTAAAGACCTACCCCACCCGGGGTAGGTCCTCCATCCGAACCAAGCCAGTTTTGGCTACATCACACACGTGCTCTTATTTTTTGTTCTGGTGTTGTCTATACATTACTGTGTTGAAGCTGGTGTCGTACGGTTTGTGGGCAGCATCGGAAAGGTTGGTATTCTTCTGGGTGTTGTGGTATTTTACGGATAATGTCTAACAGTCTGTGCCTTGGGAATCCATTATGCACTAGACAGTTAACAGTATGTAGGATTTCGGAGGCCGCATGTTGTTCGTCGGTTTCAATGAGCATTATCGTGATGATCTATTAGAATGTGCTTGTATGAATCGGGTGATTGGGAATTTGAAAAGTCCAACTCCCGTCTTTTGTCATATCTGTAGGTTTTGTATTGTCCAGTGACAGAGTCAGGGTTGTCACACGGGGATCCCCGGGGCTCAAGCCGGGGTGGGAGTTTTACCCCCGGACTCCCGACAGCGGGGACCACCGACCCCCGCACCCTGCCATCCACCCCCGCGCCTGCCCCAACCCCGGCAACCCTGCCCACGACCCTGCAACCCCGCTCCCGCCCCCGCAGCCCCGCTGTCGAGCGCGTCGGCCGGCACCGCACGAGGCAGCGCGGGACCCTCTCGGCCGCGTCACGCAGGAGTTGGACCAACCTCGACATAGCACGCGAATGGAGCTTCCTTAGGCCGCTCCGGCCGAGTGCGCCAACCATACCTCTCGCGAGCCCCTACGACAGGATAAGGCCTACGCGAGGCACAACTTACCTCCACCTTACGGGAGCTGTCACCTCCCATCGGTGGGCGTATCCCCGCCGAGCTACCAGTCCACAATACGAAAGTTGATCAGTTGCAATCGCAGAGGTGGACTAGCCGAGGGCGTTTCTCGTTCRCTGTAGCATAGGGGGTACGTGCGGTAATACGCCTATCGGACCYGCACGAGAACCGACATCCTGGGGGGCTGAAGTCCCAGGTGCGGGTCGTCGTCGGTCAACTAGGACGCATCCCACACACCACGCGCGCACCACTTCATGAACACGCAAAAGAACACATGCACACACGCACACGCACATACAATGCACTACAACACGAACAACGCGGGCACTATACGAACAACGCGACGACGCTCCTAGCCCCTCGGTAGCCGTCCCATAATTTCTCGATACGGAAGTCGAGTGGGCATCGCGCGCGAGGCTTAATATAAAATCGCGCGGACGCAAGGCTAACTCATACCGACTCGCAATGCAAACGTACGCAAGCGGTCGCAATGATGGCGTACCTTGTAGTACCCATACTCACGCGGTCCTCGTTAATCTCGAGGGTCGCGTTCGACACTCAAGTGTCGGCTGACACGCGCCTAGAGGGTTAATCTCTCGAYGCTGAACAACCGTCATGCGCGGTTGAAGGCTACACACCCTCTTCTGCACCCTTATGCAGAGTGGGTGGTACACAGGCCCATGCCTGTGGTGGTAGTCGTCCCTCGCGGCCCTAGGGGTGAGTCCTTCCCGGGGCCTGGGCGAAAGTCAAGGGGTTTGACTTTGACGGCTGCCACAGACTACAACGTCCAACCATAAAAATCTTTAAGAAGCAACAGGACCCGCACAAATCCTAGAAGAGGAGGCAGGGCAAGGGTCCCCCGGCCTCCAAAACAAAACTCACGGCCTCGGGACACACTCCCCCTCTATGGGCGGTGCTGGCGGCTCATAATAATCCCAAGCGCTGCGCCTACGCGCAAGCCCGACGGTCCGATAACCTCTTAGACGTCGGGGTGGCGAGGCGTCGTGCATAGGGCTCTGATATAAAATTGCGCGGCCGAAGGCCAACCTTATGCCAACCACAAATGCCAATTATATGTGGTAGCCGCGGCTCCGGCCTCGCGATATTGAATGGCTGAAAGAACTCTTCACGAGGGGTTACCCGTCACGATATTGAACGGCTTAAGGACACGCCGTCCGGCCCTCGCGACGCTTCCGCCCTTCAGGCGAGGTGCCTCGTCGGCCAAAATAAATAGGCTCTATGTGAGGGGAGACCCCTCCCCTTCAGGGCATAGGGCTTGGGATGTCCTAGACAAGGACCTCGAATCCCGGCCCACGACCAACGTCCGACTAAGAAAGCCCCAAGACGCAAGTGGGCAGAAGGGAGGGCCCTCCCTGTCCCTCAACCCCAACTTCCATACGGTTGTTAACACGACCCCTTAAGTGTTCGCGTCGGTCCACTACCCCGCACCGTGGCCGTCCCATGTGCCTACCGACACGCCATCCCTACCCTCAGTCACGCGCACCTATCGAAACAACTTTCATTCCTTAACCAAGGCCGTAACACGGTCCAGGCCGGTCGGCTACCCCGGCCGCCCATTCAATAAGAAAAATCACACCCATGCCTTAAATATTGCGCGCCCACCTACTCCCTACTCGGACAAGGCAGACCTTGGCCCGCGCGCGGACGACCCTTACATTTCCCCGCACGGGCACTCAAAATCCAGGCTGAGCGAGCCTTTCTGTTGTTTGCAAAAAACAGGGCGAATACCCTTGTAAGGGTACTCGTGCCGACAACTTTCCGGACCATATTAAGCGACGTCCCCGTCGTGTCGCCGAATCAAAAAGCGATAGGTTTCCATCACACTCCAAATGCTGACGAGATAAAAACCAACCCGATTAGCTGACAGACTCAGGGGTGAGGCCTCCATCAAACCGTGCGAACACAATTATATGCTGTCAGGGTTTCAACCTGGGTCTCCATTGCCCCGACACCAAGACCCCAGTGTATTACGCATCAATACTACAACATAAGTTCCAGAGGCCCCCAAACCATCCTCTTCCCCTTTGTCCTAAACAACCGCTGGCCTCTCGTTGGGTGTCCCAGTTAGCCTCTTCCTCATAAGCAGAGCCATAACTAGGGACGCGGGCTTTGAATGGGACCTATGAAGGCATTCTTGTGTTCTTTCAACAATTTTCTCACCATCAACCAAAGTACATACATATAGTTTATAGCCTCTCTCGGCCGTTTCTGCAGTCTAGTACAGAAATGCCAGGTCTCGATCTGAGCCCACCATAGCTTGGCTGATCGGGCCAGGTCTACGGCCCACCGCATTGTTACCGTAGCGGCAGTATCCTCCCATTGGATCTACAATGGCAGGTATGTCCCTGATAATCAATCAATCAGGGCTTCCAAAAGACTCGACTTTTATCCCGCAAGGTAATTTCCCTGGGGCGGGCAACTCCCCTTAAACTCTCGCCTTGTGGGCTCGCAGCCAGGTTGTACCGGCTAGCAGCCATCCACTAGGGGTTGCGCCCAGGTGGCACTAATCTTTACTGTTAGCTTGGTATTCCCTCAAATATGTCTCAGAATTAGCACAGGTGGCCCGACGGGCTATCACAAACAATTCACGGTCGCTGCGGGACTACGCACGGGTCTGAAGGCATTTACCAGCCCTCCTATAATAGGCATGGCATCCTTCACTCAATCACAAATAACCCCTCTGCCGGATCCACAAGGCCGCAGCTCCTGACTTGATTAGAGCCAGCAGTGGCCCACCCTGAGGCATCTCTCGCCCTTTTCAAACATTTCAAGCAACCTGGTCCCCTCTCGTCAGACTTTATCAGCACAGACAATGCCTTCCCCATCATTCAATTTTTACCCACCCTTTGTGAAGGGGGCCTTTCACAAAAGATTTCCTGGCCATCCCCCTTCCTGTATGGGATGACTTCCCACATGACCTCTTCCAAAACCATGAACGGGTCTCCACACAATGTAATTCCCACCTCCCAGAATCATGAAGGGGGTCTTAATCATCGAACAACTCAAGCTGAGGGGCCAGCTTCTGGGTCCCTATACGATTTAGGCAAGGATGTTTAGTATGACCAAAACATGCAAATTCCTAAATCCATCAATCTCGTAGGATTCTCACAGTGTTCACAAACAGGCTGCGCTTCCCTTCCTTATACTTTGCCCCCTCGTCCGCCTGCAGCAGACCGCACGAGTATACCGGAGGGTAGACAACTTTACAATTTACACAATCATGCCCATGAGATGCATCCTGTACATCTTTCACACAAAGCCAAACATCCATCGAGATAAATCCACACATGTGAGAGCAATAGTGATCGTCACAAGACAAGTCCCGTAGGTACACTAAGGGAGTAGAATGCCTCCCCCAACAATCGAATACAAGCACCCAACTCAATACCCCGTTTGTCTGAGTAGGACTCATAACCCCACTGTACACTTACCAAATACACTCGGGAACATGACAGTCGCCTAATCATCCACAGAATGGCCAACCCCTGTCTTCTCCTACTGGGAAACTCACATCCCGAGTGCTATAAACCCCCAAATCCCATTCGCCGCAATAGCCTCTGAGTCACAAAACCAAATGTAACTCAATAGTCTCATATATCACACAGCAGAGTCCTACCCCGGGGTCGTAGCCCACGAAGAAACTCAAAGGGAAACAAGCGAACAAAAGTCAAACGCATATGTACAATCGGACAGAGACTCACCCCACCACTCCTACGCACACACACATCTAGGGCCCGCCCAACTTACTCAAGGTATGTACACCCCTGACCCTGCCCTGTGCGTGTCAAGGATCTCTAGTCCTATCAATATATAGACAGACCGATCCCTACTTACACAATTCTTCCTGGTTCTGCCTATACAATTGGGCCCTGCCCCCATCTGGAGCTCGGTCCACTATCCTAGTTGTTTGTCATAGAATTTGTCGTCGACCTCCACAACTCGCCCCTCGGCCTTATCCTCAAGGAGCTCTGGACAGTTCATGGCTTTATGTCCTTCCTCCTTACACCAAAAACAGGAGGTATCATGCCACCTAGCAGTCTTCTTCTTCCTCCCTTGCGAACTCGATGCCGAAGGGGTCCCCACGAACTCAGTAATCACCTCATGACACGAGGGCAACCCCACATGGCCCTGAGGTTCAGGCTCCATAGCCTCAACACCCTCACCCCCTCGTGGAACCGCACTCCCTGGCTCGCGCTCCGGCGTGTTCAACTCCTGGGGCCCATCCTCATGAGCCCTCCCTATCATCACCGCCTGATCCCTGCATACTCATGACGGCTGAGAGCCCCCCATAGTGGCGGGCTCACTCATGACCTCCTGCTGCTGTTGCCGTCGCGAGTCAGACCCTCCTGAGTCTGTCCCCGTGGCCCAGGAGCCCAGCTCCGCCCTCAACTCTCCCAACCTCGGGGCATGCTCTGGAGCGTCGAGTCCCTGAGGCCGCTCCTGTGGAGTGCCTATCCCCATGGCTGTCGCCAACTCATGCAAGTGCGAACCCCTCATCTCCGTGGACATAGCCATAAGCGACTCCTGCGCGTCACTCTCCTCCTCGACTGCGTCCAAGGGCGCCTCCTCCATCGGCTCGGACTGACGAGGGACCTCCACTGCTACTCCCCGATTCGGCGACGCCTGCATCCCACGGCCTTGGATATCGGCACCGGCTGGCCCTGTCCTGCAAGCCTCCCAGGCTGCTGAGAGCCTATCCATAGTGGCCGACATCTCCCCAAACCTCCTCTCCCACTCAACCTCTCTGGCCTTGCTCCTCACCCTCTCCTCGGCAAGCTGAGTAGTCAGGTGCTCTACCTCCAACTCCTTAACCCTGAGCTCATTACTGAGTAGATTATACCATTGGAAAGATGTGACTGCCGTCTCGCATACCCTCCGATCCATGCGCTCAATTGCCATCCTGGTCGCAAAGAATCCCACATCTCCCATTTCCCTCAACTCACTTGTCTCCTCGCCTGTCGGTCCTGCCTCTCATGACCTCTGGCGGGCCGCATCCCTCTGACTCTCATACCTAGCCCACAACTCGTCAATCCTCTGCTCGTTCGTCTTGGGCTCGACTGGCGGTGTCGGCTCTATCCCTGTCGTCTCCATCTTGGCTTGCTTCGCATGTATCTCGTCCAGACGGACTCGCACTCGGGCGGACTTCTCTTCGCGGGTTTCTCTTTGGGCTCTTCCTACTCGCGGCCCCTGGCCCTCTGGAGCCGTCTCCTCAGCCCCCATCCTCTCGCTCGTGCATGGCACTACTGGCGGCAACTCCATTGGGACGGGCTCCTCGATAACCGGACCCTTGACCTCGTGCGCGGATGGCGGCAAGTCAGGGGGCACCTCCATCCTTGCTCTCTCACACATTCCCTGACCCTCCTCCTCTGCCTCTTGCTCTGGCATAAAGGTGGCCGCTGGCGGAGACTCTGGAATCTCCTCGCTGCCCGGCTCGGGAATCCCCTCTGTCCATAAACGCTGTGGTGGCTCTGGAACTGGGGAGCATGGAGGGGTATCGTCTCCGACCGTGATCACCTCTTCAATCTGAGGTCGTACCGGATCCGGCCACCCGACTGCCATCTCAGGATCCTGTGGCTCCTCTCGGTCTCGCATGTCTGTCTCCACCTCGGGGTCGAGGGGCTCCTCCAATGGCACGTAGCACGCCGGCTCAACTGAGCCCTCTCCCAGTCGTGAGGCCTCCCATTGGGATACATCGAGATGAGTCGCTAAGCTTCCGAATGACGTCTTTCTTGGTATGTCCAGCTCCTGCACTAATGGCAGTGGCGAGGGCGGCCTCAACTCCTTGCTCGTAATCCGCCGAAACTCAACCGCCCGGAGGCCACAGGCAGGGAACGACTCCTCTGCCAATGTGGGCCCTGCGGGCTCATCCTCTCGCTGGGTTGGGGCTCCCCTCCTCTCTCTGGCCAGCCCCGCCTCTCTCGGTGCCGGTTCCCTTGGCCTCTTGCTTCGCCGTCGTCTCTCAACCCTGGGCTCATGCCTCTCGTGTTGTGGCCGTCCGAATGCCCTCCTGAGCTGGGCCTGACAATCCTCCTAGTCTCGATCCCTCTCTCGAATCTGCTTGGCCACCTGCTTCTCCGCCCGCCTCGTCCAGATAAGTAGGGCCTGCACCCATTCCTCCTGCGCAACCCCCAGACTCAACATGTAGTGCTCATATGCAGGGATAAACTCATCTGCGTTCCCCTCCTCCAATCGAATGGGCATGCCATCATGCCCCCTAGGGGAAGCTCTCAACCTCCGCATCCCGGCCTCCATGTCTGGCCAAGTCAGGGCCTCCTCACATATTTAAGCGACGGGCTCCTCGAACCGCCCTATACCCCTCAAGTGGTGAATCCTCTCCACCACTGTCCACCCTCTTTGTACCGCATGGTCCCGATATACGTCCAGGAAGAGCTCAAAGTAATCGTCATCGAACTCAGGCGTAGGCTCCCTCCTAGGCGGCTCATGCTGCTCGCCCCTTCCCTCCATCCTCTAGGGCCCCTGGCGTGGCCGTGTGTCCCTCCCGCCCCTCTGCATGACTGCCTTCGAAAAGTCAGACCTGCACAACAAGCGAGAGACAACAAGCAGGCACCCAGCAGGGTCAGCGACTGGGCCATTGGCCTAGGGAAATCCCACATACTCTCCACACCCATTCGCCCCAATCATCCACCTATCCAAGCACCTGACCTGGGTAATGTCTAGGAAGGACTTTATTCCTAACGAGGTCTCATGGCCCCTTACCTATTCCCTGGCCACGAACTTCTTCAGCCTTGTCCCTGATACCCAGTCCTGCCATCCTGCCCCGTCCAGCTCCTCAATTTGGTACGCCCCAAACTCGCCACACCGCACGATCCTATAGGGTCTCAGCCACCGCTTGTCGAGTTTCCTAGACCATTGCTTTTCCAGCGAGGAGTCGTACAGCAGCACCACGTCTCCAACCTTCAGCGGGTCCTTCCTTATTCGGGCCATCTGGTCCCATCTCATCTTGTCCTCCATACGACTTCTCTCTACCTGACCAGCGGCCTCTCGTAGCCTTTCCTCAACGGCTCCCACTTGTCGCGCCCGTATATCAAGCAGTTCTTCAAAGGGTAGGTTCACTTCCAGGTCCTGACGCCTCCACGTCTTCATGAAGCTTTTTATGGGGAAGGTGGCATGCCTCCCATACCATAGAGTGGCTGGCGCATACTTGGTGGTTCTTTTCACAGTAACATTTTCCACGAAGAAAGTTGCTCTCAGGAACTTCGGCCATTGGTTAGGCTTTCCCTCCATTTATTTAGCCAGGAGATTTGTGATGGTGTTGTTCCCCCTCTCCACAGGTGCGTTCGCCTGGGGGTGTGCGGCAGCAGTATAGTTTGCTACCACGCCGTACCCCGCGAGCAAGGTCCGCACCTCGTTACAAGTGAACTCCGACCCCCGGTCCATCACAAATTCTCTGACGAACGGATAGCGCAGGTAGTACTCTTCAATGCACCTGGCTAAAACTGGGTCAGTCTTTGTGCGAATAGCCCGACCGTCCACGAACCCAGTAAGGTTATCTCGTGCATCAAAGATATAATTATTTTCATCCTCCCCGAGTGGCATGAACAAGAGGTCCAGGTGTACGACTGCACCCACTTCCCTTTCTAGCCTGGGATGTAAATGCTCCCCAGGCCTTTGCGCTGACCTCTGTTGGCAAGGCACACAGGATTGGTAGTACTTGATGACCATAGTCAGCATTCCATCCGAACGGTATAACTCGCTTATCTTCGCACACGTGGCACTAACCCCTATGTGCCCCCCTGCTATACCATCGTGTAAGGCTACTATGACATCGATCTGCCGGTTCCTCCCACATACGATCCTCTTGGGGTTCCCAACCTGTCGCCTTATAAACAAATGGCCATCTCTCACTAAATAGAGATGCCTCATCTTCAGGGCCTTAGCGCCTGCGTCCCTATCCCTCATTTCGCACGACCAGAGTAACCCTAATTCCCAATAAATTCCGTCATACTCCTCATCACGGAAGGTCTCCCTAATCTCTCCCTCTTCGAACTCGTCATCCTGACTCTCGGGAATGAAAAGTTCGCCCTTCTCGGAGCTGGCTCCGCCCTTCTGATCAAAGTTCCCCTGCAGGAGCGTGTTGGTGAGCAAGAACATTCATCCCATTAGTTGCACATGCTCCTCTACTTGCGTCGGGCCTTCCTCTATCGTTCTCACCTCCTCCGCTAGACTGTGTCTTCCTGCCAACGCCAACCTCATCATTCAGCCAACCTCCCTACTCCCCCACGGATCTTCTTCCTGGAAGGGCTTGAGGACCAACTCCTCCTTCTGCTTGTACCCCCTTGGTGCTAGCCATATAGGATGCGTGACGCAGCTAGGCACCCTCAGCGACCACTCATTTATGTGGAGGTGGACGTCCTCCTCCTGGTCCAAGAACCCATCAACTGGTGGGGTATCCTCAATTGACTCTTGATTCACCCCGTCCCAGTTGGTACGACTCAACCCATCTGCCCTGTTCTTGTCCCCGGGTATCCTCTCCAACTCAAAGTTAAACATCCAAATGTAAGTCAACCACCTCGCGACGGTTGGGTCAGATGGAGTATAGCTTTTCAGGGAACACGCCAGCGCGGTAGGGTCCACCCTCAAAATGAGCCTTCTGCCAAAGATGTAGTTCCGGAAGGTCCTTAGGCAATGGAGTACCGCCAATGTCTCCTTCTTGAACTGGGAGTAATTCCTCTCGGTCGTATTGAGGGTGCGACTTTCAAATCTTAACGGCCTCTCCTTCCCATCCGCATCCGCCTGAATCAGAAACCCTCCTAACAACAAACGGCTTCTCCTCCGTGACCTCGTAGTTCGGCGCTCCCAGCACCAAGCCTCCTTCCCTGAATTATCTCTTCATTCTTTCCACAACCTTTTCCTGGTCTTCACCCCAGACCCACTCCTGATCCTGACGTACCAGCTTCCTCAAATGCTCCGTCTTGGTGGCGAAGTCCTTCACAAAACTCCTCCAAAACCCGCAGGTCCCAAGGAAGCTTCTCACGTCCGTTATCGATTGGAAGGGGACTGACCACTCTAGGATCTTGTCCGTCTTCTTCACATCTGGCCTCCGCCCTTCCTCGTTGCAAACAAAGCCTAGAATCGTGGCCTCCCTCATGCAATGCTTCGACTTGGGGCCGCTCGTCGTCAGGTTGTGCTCTTCCAGCAGACCCAGAACCTGATCGATATCCTGGACGTGTTTCCAGACGAACCGCCTCACTCCTGGCATCACTTCGTCTTCCTCCTTTTCCTTTGGACCCTTGACCGCCAAGTCGTCAATGTAGGGTTGAGTGATATGTGGACTAACTGTCTGCATGGCCCTAATCATGTGCCTTTGCACCATTGCCACCGCATAAGTCCATCCCTGAGGTGCCACGTTCATGTGGATCAACCCCCTTGGCGTATGCATCGCCGTCACCGGCCTATCCGGTGGGTACACAGGAAACTGGTCATACCCAGAATAGAGGTCTATAAGTGAGATTATAGGCCTCCCCACGCATGACTCTGACAGGGCGTCCGCGTTCGGCAATCCTCCCACGTCCCGCACTGTCACTGCGTTCAATCGTTGCAGATCCTGCACCCACCGCAGCGTTCCTTTCGGGTTGATAAAACAAAACGAGGGGGAAGCGTACGGTCCACTGGAGTAATCCGCCACGTACGTCCTCATCTTCCCATCCAGGTAATCCACCACCTTCTTCACCTCATCCGGATTCGGGTACCGCGCGCCCCTCAAGTTCCACGGCTCGTGTGGGACGGTATGGATTCGTATCATTGGGATCTTATCCACGTCCAACCTCCCACGCTCGTCGTTATTAAACGCATACGCGCAATGCCTCCTCTTCATGGTTCCACCATCTGGGTCCTTTCCTGGGGCAAAAGGAAGCCAGGCTCGCCGATTATCAGTCCCTCCTCGTTCTCATTATTGATGCGGCACGGTCCTACCTGCGCGCGCTCCCGCATACGCCTTATCAGCCTTCGCTCCCGTTCATAATAGACTTCCTCGTCCTCCGTGACAAGCATGGGGACCGGGCGGCACTTCTTGTCTATGGTCTTGTACCACCTTTGGGAACCCTGCTTAAGCGTCCCCTAAAAAAGGCCGACTTGTCGTTTGGGCCTGGGCCATCGCAGGGTCTCCTTTCCTCCCGGGAAGCCGATAGATCAACTCTACTTCTCCCACCTGAGGGTTTTCCAGGACCTGCTCCCTCAACGCCTTGATAGCCTGAGGGTCCGCCATATCATGCGCCGCCACCACCTCCATTGCCTTATTTACATCATTAAGGCTCAGGGATAATACCTCGCGCGCTCCTTCCTCCTCCCGCTCCTCCCGGAGTCTCAGTCGCGCGTACTCAGACTCCTCGAAGGTAAAGGAGTCGAGGTTGAGCCTGTTCCTCCCACTTTCGGGCCCTGTGTTCCGGCATTTGATGATTTCATAGTTCCCACAAGCCGGATCAGATAGCGCCAGGATCATCGTCCCCTCATGCTTGTTGAAGACTAGGGTCTCCGTTCGGCAGATGAACGACCTCCCCAGAAGGATGGGGTGGTCAACATCGGGCATGACAAAGAAACACGTTCGCGCCCTTACCCTCCCAATCTCCACCATCACATTAGACGCGGTGCCGCAGAAGATGGCCTTGCAGTTGGCGCCATGCAACACGCCATGGTCCGAATGGTCAACTTCCAATCCCAACATCGTTGTGTCCCGCTCCCGGATGATATTCATCTCCGCACCCGTGTCCACCATTGTGATGCTCGGCTGGTCCCTCACCTTCAAGTCTACCAACCCACACGCCACACATTTCCAATCCATCCTAGTGCTTACCTCTGTCCACTCTATCTCCCTGGGCAGAATTGAACTTAGGTGGACATTGGGCACTAACCTTCGCGAGGGCCGCCCTTTCAGTTCGCCCCTAAGCCTTGGTGCTGAGGCCAAGATATCCTTTAAGTTCATCAGATCGTTATGGCCCTCCAGGAGCTTATCCACCATCCGCTCCACATCAAAGCCTTCCTCCAGCCGAACCGCATACTTCCTCCTTTTTGGCACGCCATCATGCAGACTCGGCTCCACCCCTCCCTGAACCCCTCTCTTCTTGGCCCTCTGTTCCACCCTCCGGTCCTCTTCCTGCCGAAGCCTCTCGTCCTCTTCGTCATCACCCTCATCTTCCTCTTCTTGGACCTCTACCACTTCCTTCCTTCGCTCGGGCTCAGGGTCCTTTCGAGGGGGCGCCCGACTGGGTGCCTGGCTGGGCCCTTGACTGGTGGTAGCCTTACTTTGGCCCCTAGTCTGCGCCCGTGGTACCCTTCCATGCGACGTAGGGGGTCTGAAGGTCATTCCTGACCTAGGACCTGCCCCGGTTGTCGCCACACTTGGACATCCTTGCGTTCCTGGCGACGACTCCGGACCGGACCCATAGAGCATCACCTCAAGAAGGCTTATTTTCCATTCCCGGGCCCTTTCACACATCGCCCTTAGCCGTTCATGATAACTGCCGACCTTTACAAGCAGGTCCTCCATTCTCTCCAACATGGTCAAGGCCGACTCTCCCACCACCTCCTGCGTCTCTTCGTCGGACTCAACCACTATGGGCTCCTCCTTTGTAGTCCCCGCCCTCAACTGCTGAGTCACTTCCTCATTTTCACCCACAACCTCTTCGACTCTTACGCCGGGGTCTTGCCTTTCCTTCCATATCCTGAACATTGCCGAGGCTGCTGGAGGCCCTGCCGCTGCCCGCCTCAGGGCTTCCTGCCTGATCCCTCCTGGGGTCTTAGGATCAATGTGCTTTCCCCACCGGTCATATATATCCCCGTCCATACAGGTAGAGATTAGTCCTGCCAACTCATCGTCCCGCCGCTGTTGGCAAAACCGTACAGTGTGGCCCATCTCGCCACAATGCCAACAAGTCGCGTTCCACCAGTCGAAGCGTGGCCTCCCATACCCTTGGCCTCCTCCTTGGCTGCCCTGTCTACCTTGGTTCTGACCCCCTCGACCATTCCAGCCTCCTCCACGGCCTCCACCATTTCCTCCTCGCCCCCGGCCGCCCCCTCCTCTACCCCCGTGGCCCCGGCCCCCGTTGCCCTGCCCGCCTTGTCCTTGGCCTCCTCCCCCGGCCACACTAGCTTGCGAGGCCTGCTGGGAGGGCGACGGTTGGGCCACGGGCTGGCTTTGGGTCAGCGGGTAGCTCGGGGGCCCCATACTCGCTGATGGGCCTGAATAGGGGACCGTGTGCCCCGTGTGAACCTAACTCCCTCCACACGAGACACATTGGTTGCAACTAGGCCAGGGCACGGACTGACAATGCGGCACCCAGTGCCCGCAAGTTGGTGGCGGTCCCATGTGCGATGGTCCTGCTGATGCTGGCGCGGCCGCGGCGACAGGCGATGGTGCGGCAATGGCTTGGGGAGCCTGCCCCTTTCCTGACACCTGCCCTCCCTGCAGCAAATTGCACTGCTTCCTCTGGGCCTAAGTCAGGACTTGGGAACCTGTCTCCCCTCCGCCATAGTCTTCTTGCCCAGCCTCCTCGTCCACTGACCCTGACGTCCGGCCTTGAGCCACCAGCACCCCTCTTTTCTGCATCTCCGCTTTATTGTCGTACCCCAGGGCTGCCAACACGTCTGTGACAATTCTCTTCACCCCTGGTGTCCCGGATGCGGTAGCATCCCTCTCCTTCCTCTTGCGCCTTTGCAGCCTCATTTGATGCTGCTCCACCTGGTCCAGGCTCCCTTCTTCCACTCCCTTATCTATGGTTGCCTAGGTGAGCCTCTTGCTCCCTTCCCCATACTTTGTCATCTCTGTGGCCTCCGAACCCGTAAGCAGCCCCAAAAACGTGGCGCACTGCGCATCCTTCGAAATCCTATGCACTTTCCTCGCCCTTTTCTTGAATTCGTGCACGAACGCCCCAATCGCGGAAAAGTCGTCCTTATTCATGGCTTCCAAATCTGCCATGGTCAACAAACCATCCCCCAACCTGTATTTCCTCATCATCAGGTCCCTGAACCTCACCCAACTGCCATTTGCAGCGTCCACCACTCTACCCACCTCTTTATGGTGGCTGAGAAGGACGTATCTCATGATTCGTTGAAACTTCACGTGGTCCGCCAACCCCACCAGCGCCTGCTCAACCAGATCCAGCCACTCAGACACCCGGTCCCCTTTGAAATGGAAAATCTCGACCTTTGGGACATTACTCGGCGCCCTCTCGCGCTTATCCAGGGCCTCGACGAGGTCGTCGATTGTTAGGAGCTTTGTCCCGCCGTCCGCCATACCTTCTGGCATTTCAATTGACTGCCTCTGGCTTCAATCCCCCCCTGTTATAGGGAACAGTACAATGCACAGGTTCCACTCAACAACCCAATCCATCATACTCCTATCAGACCGACCACTTAAACATCCATCGCTCTAGACCCATCAGTCATTCCTTCTCATATTTCCCTTGAACTTACCTAGATAACACTCACCCTCATCCTAGGACTTTCCTCACACACTTACTCCAATCAAACTGTCACCCAGACCACCAATCAATCAATCATCCGACCCATAATTATATAGATCACCATACAATCTATCTCATAGTCCTTCTCTTACTCACTCATATGCCTAGTTTCTAGCTTATTCCAATACCCGGATGTCGTTCCACCAGGGACAACAATAGGCTTCCGTTATCCCCGGCAACGGCGCCCGCTGTCGAGCGCGTCGGCCCGGCATCGCACACGACGACGCGGGACCCTCTCGGCCGCGTCACGCAGGAGTTGGACCAACCTCGACATAGCACGCGAATGGAGCTTCCTTAGGCCGCTCCGGCCGAGTGCGCCAACCATACCTCTCGCGAGCCCCTACGACAGGATAAGGCCTACGCGAGGCACAACTTACCTCCACCTTACGGGAGCTGTCACCTCCCATCGGTGGGCGTATCCCCGCCGAGCTACCAGTCCACAATACGAAAGTTGATCAGTTGCAATCGCAGAGGTGGACTAGCCGAGGGCGTTTCTCGTTCRCTGTAGCATAGGGGGTACGTGCGGTAATACGCCTATCGGACCYGCACGAGAACCGACATCCTGGGGGGCTGAAGTCCCAGGTGCGGGTCGTCGTCGGTCAACTAGGACGCATCCCACACACCACGCGCGCACCACTTCATGAACACGCAAAAGAACACATGCACACACGCACACGCACATACAATGCACTACAACACGAACAACGCGGGCACTATACGAACAACGCGACGACGCTCCTAGCCCCTCGGTAGCCGTCCCATAATTTCTCGATACGGAAGTCGAGTGGGCATCGCGCGCGAGGCTTAATATAAAATCGCGCGGACGCAAGGCTAACTCATACCGACTCGCAATGCAAACGTACGCAAGCGGTCGCAATGATGGCGTACCTTGTAGTACCCATACTCACGCGGTCCTCGTTAATCTCGAGGGTCGCGTTCGACACTCAAGTGTCGGCTGACACGCGCCTAGAGGGTTAATCTCTCGAYGCTGAACAACCGTCATGCGCGGTTGAAGGCTACACACCCTCTTCTGCACCCTTATGCAGAGTGGGTGGTACACAGGCCCATGCCTGTGGTGGTAGTCGTCCCTCGCGGCCCAAGCCAAGACTCAGTTAAGCATGAGTAATCCTCCAGTGCTACAGACCATAGCTGCAGCAGGTCAGAAACCATTGTATAAGTCGTAAAAAAGTCAGTCGGTATAGCATTCGTTGTCGAGAGGAGGCGGTGCATTTGCTTCTATAGGCTATATAGCAGAAGAAGCGGCAGTTATATTCTTGACGCAAGCGGTCAGGTGTTTTACGGCGAGATTATTGTCATCTTTACGTAATTGGCTGGAATGATTAACTCCATTTAATGCAAAGATTGGGCTATTCTTAGCAGTAGCATGTTAAAACACGTAGTCAGTCCTAGGTACGTAGAAGAATAAAGCACGGTTGCATAAGGAGTTAGGTGGAGCTAACCCAAGGATTGAATATTGGTGAAGAGGTAGTAGGCATCCATAAAAAAGACAGCCAAGAGAACGGGGCGGGAGAAGTAGCAACATTTATTACTGAGTGGGGAAGGGGGGAGTGATTACCACGAGGCAGACGGTACTTAGTGGCTATAAGCAAACCTAGCCGAGTTACCAGCAGTTAAATGGATAAGCGTTTGTGTGTTGATTACTGCCAGTCCAAGAGTTGAGTATGGTCAAATTGGCGGGAACATTACTGCGGGACGGGAGTCGGTGTTTTATCGTTTGTATGATCCGCATATGGAGGCCCAAACTTATTGTCAGACATAGCCCTTCATAGTGGTGCTCGCTTTAGAAGAAGTGTCAACCGATCATGCACGCTCTTTGGTCTAAAAAGGAGGCTAACCCAGTTGAAATCCTCAAATAACTCCTTGCTTTTGCTGGCTCAAAAGAATGAGAAGAATGTATATAGGATATTATGCCCACGCGGGTAAAGTGCAACGTTGAGCATGGAAAATTTCGTGATTCGTGGGAACGGGCCAAATATATATAGCAACTTCTGGTGAGGAGAGACAGGAGAAGCGATTTACGTTCTTCACAAGGAGCAATCGAAACACGATACAAATTTCCTTATAAAGTGACGACATATATATCTAAGATAAGTTGCTTATGGGAGGAAAGATTTACATTTCTGAAGAGGCAAGACAACAGTAATAACTTTGTCAATCTAGGCAACGCATGCTGTATGTACATCTGAGAGCCATCTTATTTATTTTGGGTTGGAAGTCGGAGCGCTTCGTCTTATACACTTACGGAGGTACCAACGAATTGTCCGACGAAGCAACTCATAGTGTAGAGTGATCTTGATCCCTTAGGGTAAAAATATGTTGTTATCAAAAATAAATTCCTTGTATTAATAAAAATTATACTGTGTATTATGGAAGATTTCGTGATTTATGGATGGGGGCTAAAATTTCAAACAAAAAACCTCTTTTAGTGAGTAGAAATGGGGTCAGTAATTTAGATTACTCACAGGAGGTAAGCACAATGCGTCACGAAAAACATGTACTTGCATGGTTGGTGAAGAACGTTTTTATTATTGACCAGACAATCCTATATTTCCCTCTGAAAACGACATGTTCAGACTAAGCTGCTAGTGTCGTATATGCGTCGGGGTCGTTCAAAAAAGGTTTAAAATTAAAATTGGGTCGGAAAGGTTTTTTAACGCATCGCCATGTATAATGGTAAGGTGGAGCAGCGAGAACAGCAATAGAAGAAAGCAGAAAACATACTCATAGTCAAATTCTTATAAAGTGAAAGTACGAAAAAGCGGGGCGGAAGAGCCCACAAATTTCATGAGAGATGTTTCGAACAACATCTAACATACTGCCTCAACACAAACTGAAAACCGGTTACTGCTCTTTAGTGATAGCAAGACATCGTCCTAGTAATCAATAGTTACGCTGTCGGGACAAAAACCTCTGTGAGGGTTTCTGCCCGAGTTTTCAAGGTCAGACACTGGCCAACTTTTTCGTTGAGGAACATGATGAGATTAACGTTGCCAAAGTTATTCAGACCAATCCTATAACTGAGAAACCTAAAGCCTGGCGTCGTTGACGTATGACGTCGTGACGTGTGACGTTGTCGACGTTTGATCGAAACAACAAAAGTCAGTAGTACAACTTGTCGTCCGCGGTTCCCGACAAGGCTGCAATGGTGCGCGGTCATGGAAAGACTAGAGCTACACCTAGTCTACCTAAAATAAGGTCGCGCGGCTTAGCAGCCACGCGATTCAGGGCCTAGGTAGGCTAAAAAGAGGAGTGTGTCGGGTATGGGACCGCGGCACAGGAGGAATAGGAAGTTTTTCCTCTAGGCCGCAGGGGTTGACGCCGAGCCAGGGGGTTGCTAGGCCAATACGGAGGCCACCCGACCATCCAGGCATGCAAGGCCACAAGCAGACGAGGCCTGCAGGGCCGCAGGCAGGCCGGGTCTGTAAGGCTATGGGCAGGCAGGGCCTGCAAGGGCGCGGAACGGATTGGCTGGGCTAGGAGAGCTGCTCCTATCACTGTTGTGATAGGAGCTAGCCTAGTAGGTTATCACACCAAACTTTCACCTGGCAGATACAGGGATCGAACTTGACATGCGGGCCTATTGGGCAAAGCTCCTTTTGGAGCGGCCCAGCCTTTTTGACGCAGCCATTTTCAGCCGTCCGATCGGTGAGATCGCACGGCTGAGAACAGCCGCGCGGAGAGATTAGTATGGCCCCTGCGCAAGGGTGACACACATAAATCGTGGAATGATCCAATTTTTTTTTAATTTTCTTTATCTTAAATTTTTGGAAAAAAAAAGGGGTAAAGAACTTACCTACCCCGCATCCGGACGCGTAAGCGCCCAGATACTGGTCCCATAGAGATATGCAGGGGGTCGAGATTGAACTGCTTTTCGGCATTTCTGCCTAAAACACGTCCGGATTCAGGAACTCGATTCTACTCCTTGCTAGTGGGACCTTGCCAGCAAGTCGTGGCTAGGCCACGACGTGACATGACCGTTGGCATAAGCCAACAGGAAAGGAAGACAAAAAAAAGGGAAAATTTTTTTGGCGCCCCGTTATTTTCCATTTTTTTGCATCGCGCCCCTCCGATATGCAGAATACCCTGCCACGCCCCTGGGCCTGAATTTTTTTGTGGCAGGCCCCCGTCGGTGGTGGCGCAACTTTCCATGACGCCCTCCCTCAACCGGCGGTCCCATTTCATTGGGCTATGTGATATATGCCCTCATAAGGAGCACCCATCTTCCTGTGATGCCCCTGCAGCAGTCTGGCGCTGGAAATATGAGTTCAATTTCGAACAACGTTTTTGTTGACGCGCCGCCGCCATATTTCTTGACGCGCTCGTGAAGGCCAACCTCTTGTTATTGTCGGTCAGGTTGATCGTAAGTGCCTCCAACGGCGACAGGGGCACACTGAAAAGATCGACGGTACCGGTAGGTGCATAACTGAAATTTTCCCATTGGCTATCCGGTAGGGCCATGACACAAATTTGCTGTGGGTACCGGTAGGGGCACTACAAAAACATGTGACGCCCAAACAACGCCAGGGTTTATGAAACATTTCCGTACTGGTCAGAGGGGCGCGGCAGGGTATTTCACATGTCAGAGGGGCGCGACGCACATAAATGGAAAATACAGGGGCGCCAGACAAATTTTCCCCAAAACAACACACAACAGAAAATAAAAAATAAAAAAATTAAGAACTAAGGCTGGCGCAGGCGGCACGCCAGACGGCGCAATTTTAGGCGCCTGGGGCGTTTAGGTCCCCAGTACATCTGGCAGTGCCCATTCGAACGGGCAGCTGCTTGTAGAAGTAGGGCTTCGTTTTCTTTCTTCTTTTTTTTTCTTTTTTTTTCTTTTTTAGATTTTGCCTTAGATATCGCTTAGATTCTTAGGTGCCCGTTCGTTTCGGACGAACGGGACACAAAAGAGAAAAAAACGAGGGGAAAGGAAAAAAAAAAAAAACGAGGAAAAAAAAAAAGCGAAAAAAGAGACATGATGTGCCCGACGGTTTCGTCGGAGTCACACCGATTCATCGGGGGGCTGAACCCAACAGCTCATCTCTGGATGAGCAAAATTGAATGGATCTGCCGCCCGTAGGCGGCTATGTTCAGGGTTTAGAGGGAGAGAGAGAGAAAGGGAGAGAAAAGGGGGAGTGGTTCTTACCTGGCTGT